CTCCACATGTGCAAACCAGCCTTTCTTCCATCTATTTCTCTGGTGGTGAGCATTCATGTGCAAACCATCCTCCAGCATCACGTGCAACAACTTCCTTGTTGACTACTTTTCACAGTTTTCCAGTATTTGTTTTCACTGCCCACCTCTTTGGGATTAGCACAAGCTCTCTCTGGGACAGCGCTTGTGATTTCCCAGCAGCGGTGGCTGGTTATTGAGGGACAATCTCTGCCATAAAGGATGTACAGCTATCCTTCCGGTCTCAACCGCCTGTTTTACGTATCTAAGTACTGTCAAGTCACAACTGACTTACGGCGACCCCAGCAAGGGGCTTTTGAGGCAAGTGAGAAGCAGAGGTGGCCGACCGTCGCCTTCCTCTGCGGAGCCTTCTTTGGTGGTCTCCCATCTGAGTACCGACCCCGCTTAGGTTCCAAAACTTGACGAAATCCGGCTATAGCCGCTGCCTTCCAGAGTTCCCTCTAAGCTGAGTTAGTGTGAGCTAGCTCACAGTTTTTGAGCCTCTAGCTCACACATTGTCGTCTCATCTCAGGAAGGAGGGCTCCAGAGCAAACTAATTTATGCAGCAGCCAAATTGCTCGCTCAGAACGTTAATGCCAGTAACTCACAAAGTAGAATTTTTGCTCACGAGACTCCACAGCTTAGAGGGAGCATTGGCGGGAACCCCATTAGGTTTTTAAGTCAAGAGATGAACAGAGGTGGTTGGCTGTTGCCTTCCTCTGCGGAGCCTTCCTTGGTGGTCTCCCATCTGGGTACTGACCCCGTTTAGCTTCCGAAATCTGACAAGAGGCAGGCTATAACATGCTTCCTTCCCTCCCATGCCTGTTTTATTTCAGGACACAGCTGATTAATAGCGGCTCTGGGATAACTGTTGCTTGGTTTTTTAATTTTTAATTATTTTTGTAATTTTATGAGCTCAGTGCCTTGCAGGTTTTTTTTCAGCTTGCTTTATCTTACAACAGCCTGAGAATTAGGTCAGTGTTACACCCATTTTGCAGAGGGCAAAATGAGGCTGGGAAGCCGCTGAGCCGTGTCAGTTCTCCAGTTACACGCCAGCGCGGCAAGACCCCCCCTGGCAATAAACACTGCCCTTCCTCTGCTGTGCGTAGTGCCCTCAGCTTTTCTTATGGCGGGAGACAGTGTGGTGTAGTGGTTAGAGCATCACACTAGGATCTGGAAGACCCAGCTTTGAATTCCCACTCTGTTACAGAAGACATGATTGAGGTTTACAAGATTATGCATGGGATAGAGCAGGTAGAGAAAGAAGGGCTGATTTCGCACTAGAGCTGCCTCGATGTCGCTTCCTCAAAAAACAGGATCACGAAACTGCGGGGGAAATCGGGCGAAGCTGCAAGTCAAAATGCAGCCCCGCAGCTTCGGGTGTGAAATTGACTGAGAGTATCAGGGCAAACGGCAGCGCAACATCGAGGCAGCTCTAGTGCAAAATCAGCCAAGGACTTTTCTCCCTTTCTCACAAGGCAAGGACTCGTGGGCACTCTATGAAATTGCTGAGCAGTCGGGTTAGAACGGATAAAAGGAAGTACTTGTTCACCCAAAGAGGGATTAACACATGGAATTCACTGCCACAGGAGGTGGTGGCGGCTACAAATATGGACGGCTTCAAGAGGGAACTGGATAAACATCTGGAGCAGAGGTCCATCAGTGGCTATTAACCACCAGGTATAGATAGGAACTCTCAGTCTGGGGCAAGGGATGCTCTGTATTCTTGGTGCTTGGGGGGGGGGGGCAACAGTGTGATGGGGCTTCTGGTGTCCTGGCCCCACTGGTGGACCTCCTGATGACACCTGGTATTTCTGGCCCCTGTGTGACACAGAGTGCTGGACTGGATGGGCCATTGGCCTGATCCAACATTGGCCTCTCTTATGTTGTTAATATGGAGCAGAGGTCAATCAGTGGCTATTAGCCACAAGGTCTAGATAGGAACTCTCGGTCTGGGACAAGGGATGCTCTGTCTTCTTGGTGCTGGGGGGGAACAGTGGGAGGGCTTCTAGTGTCCTGATCCCACTGCTGGACCTCCTGAAGGCCCCTGGTACTTTTGGCCACCATGTGACACAGAGTGCTGGACTGGATGGGCCTTTGGCCTGATACAGCACTTGGCTTCTCTCTTCCGTTCTTATGTCTGTTCTTAAGCTCATTGGGTGACCTCGGGCCAGACCCCCCCTCAGCCTAGCTTACCTCACAGGGCTGTTGTGAGGATAAAATGGAGGCGCGGAGAAGGATGCGGGCCACTTTGGAAAGGGAGGTGGGCAGTGTTCCCTCTAAGCTGAGTTAGTGTGAGCCAGCTCACAGTCTTTTAGCCTCCGGCTCACACATCTTTGTCTTAGCCCAGGAAGGATGGCCTCCAGAGCAAACTAATCTATTGCAGCAGCCAAATCGCCCGCTCCCAACTTTAATGCCGGTAGCTCACAAATTAGAATTTTTGCTCACAAGACCCCACAGCTTAGAGGGAGCATTGGAGGTAGGGGATGAATGAAGTCAATAAATAGATAACTGTATAGTTTGGCCCAGGTTGGGGTAAAAGCCGTTTGAGGGTGCTGATTTCCAGTTTGGGAGGAGGTCCAAACAGCCGTTCTTTCCCCCTGCCACAAATCACAGCCGCAGTGGCCGCCGTACTGATAAAAGAGATCTGCCGGTGGTTAGAATATCAAAGCAGGGTTATGAATACCCAGGACCCAATCCCCACTGAGCCTCAAACCTCAGTGGGAGACCTTCAGCTCGTTTCTCTCAACCTTACCCACCTCACAGGGTTGGTGTGACGATTAAATAGGGGGAACTGAGGGCCTGAACTCTTTAGAGGAAAGGCTGGAGGGGAAATGTGATGGATAAATTAAAATGTTGCTTCATGGGATCATGCGGCAGGACTTAATGAGTAACTCTAAATTGAGTATATCAAGAGAGGTCTTCTTGTTCCAGGTAACCTCGAGTAGAACTGGAGAGTAGAAAGGCCTTGCCTAAATTTCAGAAGAAGAGATTGGATTTATACCCCCGTCCTTCACTACCCAAAGTATCAGAGCTGCTTACAAACTCCTTTCCCTTCCCCTCCCCACAACAGACACCCTGTGAGGTAGGTGGGGCTGAGAGAGCTCTGACAGAAACTGCTCTTGAGAGAACAGCTCTGAGAGAACTTGTGCCTGACCCAAGGTCGCACCAGCCGCTGCATGTGGAGGAGTGGGGGAATCAAACCCTGGTCTTCCAGATTAGAGTCCATGCACTTAACCACGACACCAAAAGGCCTTAATTCCAGCTCCTGTTTAATCCACAACCCAATTTCCCAAGCTTTGGCCAAGAAGAGTTTTAATTCAGTCCCCTTGAGCAGGAGGGGGGGGGTCTATTTTTACGGGTTGTTATCACCTTGGTGGGTACGCGACCGGCAGTAGAAAGACGCAGACTGTTGCATACCGCCCCGGGGTGATAACAGCATCACCGAGCATGTGAAGAGTGCCTCCGTTGCTGAGCGACCACTGATCGTCCCCACTCACCTGGAATGAGGGAGTGGCGTTTCCAGGTTGGAGGGTGCCACTTTCGTACTAGACTCAACCCCCCCTCCCCCTTGGAACATTAAAAATTAAACAACACACAGAATGGCGGCAGGGAAACAGGGAGAAATCTATGCAAAAAGGCTTTCCGGGCCAGGCGGTAACTTGGCCGGTGTTGGATCCGCGCAGATACAAAAACTTCAAAGTAGCACAAGCCCCTGGCATTTACCGGAATGGGTTCTTTCTTTCCATCTCTTCTCCTGTGCGAGTACAGGCAATGGCCCTGGCACCTTCAAAAGAAGGAAGCTAAGATCTCAGGCAAGGAATTCAGGCAAGAGGTGATTCACTCACATGCCACCCATCGCTTTAAGTCGGTCATCGTTCAAACCAAATCCTACTCCCCCCCCCCCCACATTTTTAGGAGCTTGGATGGGCGCCTGGGCTCTTATCATTCAACCAGAGGGGGATCGGCATCAACTCCCAGCTGGCGTTCCCGCTAAGTTGAGTGAGTGTGAGCCAGCTCACCGTTTTTTAGCCTCCGGCTCACACGTTTTTGCCTTAGCTCAGGAAGGAGGGCTCCGGAGCAGACTTAATTTATGCAGCAGCAAAATCGCTCGCTCACACCTTTAATGCCAGCAGCTCACAAAGCAGAATTTTTGCTCACAAGACTCCACAGCTTAGAGGGAGCATTGCTTGCAAGCAGTGTTCCGTCTAAGCTGAGTCAGTGTGAGCTAGCTCACAGTTTTTTTAGCCTCCGGCTCACACGTTTTTGTCTCAGCTCAGGAAGGATGGCTCCGGAGCAAACTTAATTTATGTGGCAGCCAAATCGCTCGCTCACAACGTTAATGCTATAAGAACATAACAACATAAGAGACGCCAATGTTGGATCAGGCCAATGGCCCATCCAGTCCAACTCTCTGTGTCACACAGTGGCCAGAAATACCAGGTGCCATCAGGAGGTCCAGCAGTGGGGCCAGGACACTAGGAGCCCTCCCACTGTTGCTCCCCCCCCCCAAGCACCAAGAATACAGAGCATCCCTTGCCCCAGACCGAGAGTTCCTATCTATACCTGGTGGCTAAGAGCCACTGAAGGACCTCTGCTCCATATTAAGAACATAAGAGAAGCCAGTGTTGGATCAGGCCAATGGCCCATCCAGTCCAACACTCTGTGTCACACGGTGGCCAGAAATACCAGGGGCCATCAGGAGGTCCACCAGTGGGGCCAGGACATTAGAAGCCTTCCCACTGGTGACCCCCCCCCCCCAAGCACCAAGAATACAGTAGCTTACAAAGTAGAATTTTTGCTCACAAGACTCCACAGCCTAAAGGGAGCCTTGCCCCAGCGTGACGACCTCATTCTCAAACAGACCAGACATGTCTAGGGAACATCCTCCAGGCCAGACTCGGGGAGTGGGATCATCTAACCGTCCTTCTCACGCTTCCCCCTACAAAGAAAAAAACCACCAGGGCCAAGGGGGCACAACTCACCCTCTGTGCTTGAAAGATCATCTTGCGGACCACCTCTTTGATGTGGGGCTGATAGTCGATAGGGGGCTGCATGTAGACAGCGGCCCGCGTCACACCTCGGTACGCGACGCTCTCTGGCCACCCGAGGTCCAGCTGAGGGATGGACCGGTCGGACTTCTCCGGCCAATACTCCAGAGAGGGCAATGGGCCTTGCTCCCCATTTTGGCTGTGGACGTCTCCGTTCTGGTCTCCACGGGGGATATATTCCGAACCGGGGTCATACGTCTCCAGCGTATCCAGGATCTTTGCGAGCTCCAGTTCAGAAAGGAAGTCCCGGATATTCTCTTTCTTGAGGACTTCATAGAAGGCTTCGGGGCCCTTGGAGACCAAGGCTTCCAAAGCCAACCTCTGTTCTTCGCTGTAGAAGAACTCGGGCTTGGACTCGCTCGATCGCCAGTTGACGTGACTGTCGTCCAGACACTGGACCTGTGAGAAAGCCATGGCTGCCGACCAGAGAGAAGAGGGTCCCGGTCCCACAGTCCCACAGTCCCAAAGCAATAAATAAAAACAAGGTGGCTATTTGCCCAGTCTTAAATAATAATTTAGTATTGCGTATCCCTGAGTCAAGCAGCTAGCAGCGAATTCGGTTTCTCCTCTTTGTGCAAATCCACACCTGTGATCCCCCCTAATCCTTTTCTTCTTCTTTGATCCTTAGCTGGCTTTGGAAGTAGGAGTTCGATTTCCTAGTTACCTCATCTCAGCGGAGGAGGGGGGAAAGTGCAGAGTCTCGTTCAAGTTTCTTTCTCAAAACTCCTGGAAGCGGGCGAAATGTGCCAGCTGGCCGGCGGCATTCGAAAAACCCCACCTCGTTCAAGAATTTTCCAGGACGTCCGGACCCCGCTTGACCCTGGTCCTCTAGCCCTCAGAAAGTCCCTTTCCTTCGGGGGTAGCTTTTGCTTTCCAGCTCCCCATGGGCTGCCACCCAGGAAGGCAAGTCAAAGCGGCTCCGGGCTTACGGGCTTACCAGGACTTGAGTTCAACAGCAGCAGTTTGGGATTCGTACCCGTACGCCGTGCCTTCGAAGGGAGCGAAAACAGGGCTTAGGTTTGTCTCCTGACAACCTGAGGGATTCCTTCTGCTTTCTTGGCTCTGGGTCCCTCTCCGGTTGCCGGGTTTGCTGAAAGCTTTTGCCAGTGAGCGGCCGGGCAGGTATCAGGCAAGCAATGAAAAGTCAGGAGAGTGTCAAGAGAGGAGGGGCAGGGAAGGGGGGGGAAGAGAAAGGAAAGAGACAGCTTGAGTAATCGGCTCCTCCTTGCCCCACCTGCCGTCACATGCGGCACCCGCCTTTCGGATCGGCCCCTGTTTCTGCTGTTAACTCCTTCGGCGGTGCATGTCAAAGTTTTGCGCACCGGAGGGAAGGGCAGGAAACTGACTCATCGCTGCTGGCTGAGTCTAGCAGGCCGGGCCTAGGAGGGGAAGGGCCAAGCCGGGCGTCTTTCGTCATGCCAAGTGGAAGCGGCGTTTGTTTTGCGGCAGCATGGACCTCGTCGGGTTGCCAGCCTCCAGGCAGGGGCTGGAAATCTCTTGGAATCACAACTGATTTCCAAGCTGTGTTTGTTTTGCGGCATGGACCTCATCGGGTTGCCAACCTCCAGGCAGGGGCTGGAAATCTTTCAGAATCACAACTGATTTCCAAGCTGTGTTTGTTTTGCGGCATGGACCTCGTCGGGTTGCCAGCCTCCAGGCAGGGGCTGGAAATCTCTCAGAATCACAACAACTGATTTCCAAGCTGTGTTTGTTTTGTGGCATGGACCGCGATAGGTTGCCAGCCTCCAGGTAGGGCCTGGAAATCTCTCGGAATCACAACTGATTTCCAAGCTGTGTGTGTTTTGCAGCATGGACCTCGTAGGGTAGCAGCTCCAGAGGGCAGACTCTGTGATATACAATAGAGTCTAGAAGAAACAAGTCCTAGAGTGACGTCACATCCTCACTGATCTCCTTCCCCTTCTCAGACGCTGCTCTTAAATCTCCAGGAATTTCCCAAGCTACCACTCCTGTCTTCTGGGACATATAAGGATTATTCTCGTCTAGCCCTCTTTCTTACAGCCATTAGTCACTCTGAGAGATTGCAAGCAGCCCGTGAAAATAGCCCTCCTCCCTCACTGTTTTTGTCCTTGAGGTATACTGCTGCTGAACGCGGAGGTTCCATCCAGCTATTATGGCTCATTGCTGTTAATAGGTTTGTTCGGGACGTTCCTGGCATCCTGAAGAACTGAGCAGTCTTTGCTCATTTGGACCTCAATGAGGTCTGGCAGCATGATGTGCTGCATTATCATGTCTATAATTATGATGACTTATTATTACTAGCAGTGACAACCATGTAATAACTTCACTGTGTGCTTTTTTGAGAGTAGAATCATAGAATCATAGACTTGGAGGGGACTTCCAGGGTCCTCTAGTCCAGGGGCGTCAAACATGCGGCCCAGCGGCCGGATCAGGCCCCTGGAGGGCTTCTTATCAGGCCCAGAGTGGAACTGGCTGTCTTCTGCTTCTTCTTCCAGTTCTGCTGCTGCTGCGTCATCGTAGGTTTGCAGCTTCCAGAGACACACCTGAACAGCACACTCAACATGGCAACAGCACAGACATCTTGGTGCAATCATTCAGAGCACGAGGTGTCAGTGATCAGACACTCTTAAATAAACCAAATATTGCAAGAGTGCAAATGTTTTAAGCATGTTTTTAAGTTTAAAAAAAAACCATTTGCGTTTGTGTCCTTTATAAAGTTTATATCTATGCTACCTGGCATTACATTTTATGACACGCATGGCCCGGCCCATCAAGGTCTCATTTATGTCAGATCTGGCCCTCATAACAAATGTGTTCGACACCCCTGCTGTAGTCCAACCTCTTGCACAATGCAGGAAATTCACAAATGCCCCCCCCAATGACCCCTGTTCCATGCCCAGAAGATGAAAACCTCCAGGATCCCCAGCCAAACTGGCCTGAATAAAATTCCTTCCTGACCCCAAAGTGGTGATCGGCATTTCCCTGGGCGTGTAAGAAAAGGCCATGAGAACTAAACATTGATGCAACCCTTCCTGCCCTCCTCGTGATTTGCCTAAGTTCACAGAATCAGCATTGCTGTCAGATGGCCATCTAGCCTCTGCTTAAAAATTTCCAAAGAACGAGAGCCTGCCACCTCCCAAGGAAGCCTGTTCCACTGAGGTATTAGAACACGAACACACACACCCCATCCTATAGTAGGAAAAATTTGGGAGCACCCAAAAGATCAGTAGATTTAGGACCCTTAAAGGAATTGCCTCCGGAATTTTTATTTATTTGACAGACTTTCCCCACTCCATTTTATCTTCACAACACCCCTGTGAGGTTGGCTAGGCTGAGAGACAGAGAGTGAAGGCCGAAGGGAAATCACAATGGGAGATTGTTGGAAGTTGAGTTAATTCACAAGCTCAGAACAATGGAGCCTCCCCAGGGCTGAAATAGGATTCCTCTCTCACTACGTGCTGATTTTCTTTCCTCCAAGCATTTCCCCTCTGCTCCGCTCAAGCTGATTACAACATGCATTAGACCTTTGCATCCTTTGTTGTTGTTGTTCAGTCGCACAGTCGAGTCTGACTCTTCGCAAACCCACGGACCACATCACGCCAGGCCCTCCTGTCTTCCGTTGTGCTCCGGAGTTTGCTTAATTTCATGTTCGTTGCATCCATGACAGTGTCCAACCATCTCATCCTTTGCCATCCCCGTCTTCTTTGACCTTCGATCTTTCCCAGCATCAGGGTCTTCTCCAGTGAGTGCTCCCTTCTCATTTGGTGGCCAAAGTATTTGAGCTTCAGCTTCAGTATCTGGCCTTCCAGGGAACAGTCAGGGTTGATTTCTTTTAGGATTGACTGATTGGATCTCCTTGCAGTCCAAGGGACTCCCAAGAGTCTTCTCCAGCACCATAATCGGAAAGCATCTATTCTTCGGCGCTCGGCCTTCCTTATAGTCCAACTCTCACAGACATACATGACTACTGGGGATACCATCACTTTGACCATGCGGACTTTTGTTGGCGGGGTGATGTCTCTACTTTTTATTATGCTGTTTAGGTTTGCCATCGCTTTCCTCCCGAGGAGCAGGCGTCTTTTAATCGCATCCTTTGACAGCATTCTTTACAACACCTCTCCTACCTTCTGACTGGGATAAAAGGATTCTGAGATCTCCATTTCAACTTTAGTCATATCTGACGAAGGGAAATTTGACTCTTGAAAGCTGATACCCGCGGAAATCTTGTTGGTCTCTAGCATGCTGCCGGACTTGAGTTGAGGTGTTCCACTGGAGTCCGACATGGCTATCCTCTGAAATGATCTTTATTTACTTTAGTACATTTCTATCCTCTGCCTCTGCCAAAAAACTCTGGACGGTGTCTGTGTTTCTCTCCCCTCCTCGATTTTCAACCTCACAACAACCTTGCAAGGTAGGTTAAGGCTGAGCAAGACAGTGCCTGGCCCAAGGGCACCCTGTGCTATTTGTGGCTAGTGGGGATTTGAACCTGAGTCTTCCAGGTCCCAGTCCGAGCCTTTAATCACTGGGAGGTCCAGGTTCGAATCTCTGCTCTGCCATGGAAGTCACCTTCAGCCATTGACTCCCTCGCAGCCTAACCGACCCCACAGGGTTGTTCTGGGAATAAAATGGAGGAGGAGAGGACCAATGTAAGCTGTTTTGTGTCCCCGGGGGGGGGGGAGGAGAAGAGGAAGAAGAGGAGGAGGAGGTGGAAGAAAAAGAAGAAGAAGAAGAGTTGGATTTATACCTCACCCTTCACTCAGAGTCTCAGAACGGCTTACAATCTCCTTTCCCTTCCCTTCTCCTCCCCACAACAGACACCCTGTGAGGTAAGTGGGGTTGAGAGAGCTCTTTCGAGGACTGCCCTTGAGAGAACAGCTCTGAGAGAACTTGTGACTGGCCCAAAGTCACTCCAACAGCTGCATGTGGAGGAGAAGTGGGGAATCAAACCTGGCTCTCCAGATCAGAGTCCGCCACTCTTAACCATGACACTGAACTGGAGAAAGGTAGTGAATGAATGAATGAATGAATGAATGAATGAATGAATGAATGCCTAATAGGCACAATGACTACATGGAACTTTGATCGCCAGTGGTTACTGATGACCAGTTATTAAGGGGGCAACAAAAGGGTTAGGAGTGGACCTCCATGCCCTGTGGTGTAGGTTTTCCGGACACACCTGGACCTAGACAGACCTTTGACCTAATCCAGGGGGGCTTCTACGGCCTCAAAGCAGTGACCTTTTCTAAAGAGATTATGTTTTAAATTTTAGCATTTGGGGGAGATAACATTGTGGGGGGGGGAGTTAAGCAAGGGTTAGGGTTAACTTCAGCTGAGGCTGAAGCTGAAAACTGCAGAAAAGGTGGGGCGGCGAGAGAGGTTTGAAGGAAAAGACAGAGGGAGAGAGCGAGATTTGGGACACTGGAATCGGGCAGAGCAACGACAGGAAAAGGAAGGCCCATGCTGTTCATGGGATGTCAGACCTTACCATTATAGTCCGAAAAGGAAGTTCAAGTTCAGGGAACGAGAGCAGATCTTTTTTTAAAAAAAACAAACCCTGGAAAGAGGAGTGAGAGACTGAAACCAGCACTGTGGTGTAGTAGTAAAGGTAAAGGTTTCCCTTGCTCGAACGCCAGTCGAATCCGACTCTAGGGATGCGGTGCTCATCTCCGTTTCCAAGCCGAAGAGCCAGCGCTGTCTGAAGAAGCTTCCGTGGTCACGTGGCCGGCATGACTAAATGCCGAGGTGCACGGAACTCTGTTACCTTCCCACCCGAAGCGGTACCTATTTATCTACTTGCAATTTCTTGTTTTCGAACTGCTAGGTTGGCAGGAGCTGGGGCCAGAGATGGGAGCTTACTCTGTCACGCGGCACTCGGGCCTCGAACTGCTGAGCTATGGACCTTCCAGCCTGCAGCTCAGCGTCTTAACCTCTAAGCCACTGTGGGGTAGTAGTTGTTGTTCAGTCACACAGTCGAGTCCGACTCTTCACGACCCCATGGACCAGATCACGCCAGGCCTTCCGGTCTTCCGACGTCCTCTGAAGTTGGCTCAGTTTCATGTTCATTGCATCTATGACACTGTCTAACCATCTCATCCTTTGCTGCCCCGTCTTCTTTGACCTTCAATTTTTCCCAGCATCAGGGTCTTCTCCAGTGAGGGCTCCCTTCTCATTGGGTGGCCAAAGTATTTGAGCTTCAGTTTCATTATCTAGTAGTAGTAGTAGTAGCTGCCACCAAAACAATGTTATTTTAGTTTGCACAGCCATTCAGGTGTCCTATGGCCAATCAGAAGCCCCGCACATTTTCTAAAAACACTTGGTCGGGGCCAGGAAAAGCCACAGTGGCACCATACTGGGGACCCCAAAGCTGGAACCACGGAAGAGTCAATCATAGTTAAAAAGGCCAATGCTATGCTGGGGATTATTAGGAAGGGTATTGAAAACAGATCAGCCAGTATCATAATGCCCCTGTATAAATCAATGGTGCGACCTCATTTGGAATACTGTGCACAGTTCTGGTCACCACACCTTAAAAAGGATATTATAGCTTTGAGAAAAGGGCAACTAGAATGATAAAAGGGTTGGAACACTTTCCCTGTGAAGAAAGGTTAAAGCGCTTGGGGCTCCTTAGCTTGGAGAAATGATGGCTGAGGGGTGACATGATCGAGGTTTACAAGATTATGCATGGGACAGAGCAGGTAGAGAAAGAAGTACTTTTCTCCCTTTCTCACAACACAAGAACTTGTGGGCACTCCATGAAATTGCTGAGCAGTTGGGCTAGAACGGATCAAAGAAAGTCCTTCTTCACCCCAAGAGTGATTAACACATAGGATTCTCTGCCACAGGAGGTGGCGGTGGCTACAAGCATGGACGGATTCAAGAGGGAATTGGATAAACATATGGAGCAGAGGTCCATCGGTGGCTATTAGCCACCAGGTACAGATAGGAACTCTCAGTCTGGGGCAAGTGATGCTCTGTATTCTTGGTGCTTGGGGGGCCACAGTGGGAGGGCTTCTGGTGTCCTGGCCCCACTGCTGGACCTCCTGGTGGCAGCTGGTATTTTTGGCCACTGTGTGACAGAGTGTTGGAGTGGATGGGCCATTGGCCTGATCCAGCACTGGCTTCTCTTATGTTCTTATAAGAGGGAATTGGATAAACATCTAGAGCAGAGGTCCATCAGTGGCTATGAGCCACAAGGTATAGGCAGGAACTCTCAGTCTGGGGCAAGGGATGCTGTGTCTTCTTGGTGCTTGTGGGGGGCAACAGTGTGATGGGGCTTCTGGAGTTCTGGCCCCACTGCTGGACCTCCTGGTGGCACCTGGTATTTTTGGCCACTGTGTGACCCAGAGTGTTGGACTGGATGGGCCATTGGCCTGACCCAACATTGGCTTCTCTTATGTTCAAGATCTCTGACTTCGTTGATTTCATCCACAACAGCTTCACCTGGAGGGAGCAGGTGTTCCATGTGGCCAGGAGCTCAGGAAGCCAGCCCGGTCTTTTGTCTGTCATTTCAGATGCTGTTGGCTGCGTGGACCCCGACGAATGCGCTCGAGTGTGCGGGGCCACGGTCGGCTGCTCCAACATCGCTTACCCGAAGCTGGTGATTGAACTGATGCCCAGCGGTAAGAGGAACTTGGACGGCACTGATCTCGCTATTGTCTAGCTGGGTCGGGCTGGGCCGTAGTCCTCCCGCCCCCCCACCCCCTGGTTCTCCCAACCTTTTCCTCTTCCTGATCGTATCTGTTTGGGTCGGCAGGTAGAATCAAGACCCGCCCGGATTTATCTTGGGTTTCCCGGCCGAAGATTGTTGTGGGGCTTTTTTTGTCCTTCCAAATGAGGAAACATAAAAAACCACAATGACTAATGGGGGGGAATTTGCGTGGAATGTTTCTTGGTACAAATGGGATTACGGACGTCCTTGTGTTCCTGACTCCTCCACTGTTCGCTCTTATTAAAGGGGGAACGGCAATACTGTTTTTTTGGCTCAGCCGCTCTGAAATTAGAGCGCACCAGGAAACAAGAAGCTCCTTGTGGATACAGCACCTGTGGCCTCCCTGACCAGTTCCTGCAAGCATTCTAGTCCTTCCCCCCACTTCAGGGCCATTTTCGTGGCAAAGGAAGGCCTCTCGGTTTGCTGTTACCTCCTGCCTACCTCCCCCAGGAGAGCCAGTTTGGTGTCGTGGTTAAGTGCGCGGACTCTAATCTGGGAGAACCGGGTTTGATTCCCCACTCCTCCACTTGCAGCTGCCGGATGACCTTGGGCAAGCCATAGTTCTCTCAGAGCTGTCCCTGAAAGGGCAGTTCTGAAAAGAGCTCTCTGAGCCCCACCTACCTCACAGGGTGTCCGTTGTGGGGAGGGGAAGGGGAAGGAGATTGTAAGATGCTCTGAGACTTCGAGTGAAGGGCGGGGTATAAATCCAATCTCCTCCTCCTCTTCTTCTTCCTTTCAGGGCTAGAGAATTCGAGTGCAAGGGGTGGGGGGACGCTTTGAAGCCTAGGTTGGTTACTGGAGCTGTTAGTCTTGGGCTTTCTCTACTGTGTGCAAGTGTGTGTTAAGTGCTATTGAGTCATTTCTGACTTACGACAACCAGGGCTATTTTTGGGCAGGAACGCACAGGAACGGAGTTCCGGCTGGCTTCTGAGTTGGCCACGCCCAGCAGGAACTCATTAGCATAATAGGCCACACCCAACAGCAGGAACGCATTAGGAATGGCTACATTAGGGGTGTGTGGCCTAACATGCAAAGAAGATCCTGCTACAAAAAAAGCCCTGGGTTTTGACAACAAAGTAAACAGAATAAGAAGCAAAAGGTGGGTGTGGTAACATGGGGGTGTGGCCCAATATGCTAATGAGCTGTGGTGTCAGGGGTGTGGCGGTTAAGTGCGCAGACTCTAATCTGGGAGAACCGGGTTTGATTCCCCACTCCTGCTGGATGACCTTGGGCAAGCCGTAGTTCTGATAAGAGCTGTCCTTGAAAAAGAGCAGTTTCTGTCAAGAGCTCTCTCAGCCCCACCTGCCTCCCAGGGTGTCTGTTGTGGGGAGGGGAAGGAAGAGGAGATTGTAAACCGCTCTGAGACACCTTTGGGTAGTGAAGGGCGGGGTATAAATCCAATCTCTTCTTCTTCTTCTAATATGCTAATGCATTTCTGCTGTTGGGTGTGGCCTATTATGCTAATGAGTTCCTGCTGGGCTTTTTCTACAAAAAAAGCCCTGATGACAACCCAATGAATTAATGACCTCCAAAGCATCCTGTTGTTAGCAGTCTTGCTCAGGTCTTGCAAACCGAGGGCCCTCTGTGGCTCCCTTGAAGGAGTCCGTCCATCTCCTGTTGGGTCTCCCTCTTTTAACTGCTGCCTTCAGCTTTTCCTGGCGTAATTGTCTTTTCCGGTGTCCCTCGTCTTCTCAGAATGTGACCAATGTACAATAGCCTCAGTTTAAGACCAGCGGCACCTTCAAGACCAACAAAGTGTTATTCTGGGTATACGCTTTCATGTGCACGCAGGTTTCTTCAGGTACCTAAAGACGTGCGCGTGCGCATGAAAACTTATACCCAGAATAAAACTTTGTTGGTCTTGAAGGTGCCACTGGACTCAAACGTTGTTCTGCTGCTTCAGACAAACACAGCTAAAGGTCTCCCTTGCTCGAAAGCCAGTCAGATCCGACTCTAGGGTTGCGGTGCTCATCTCCTTCCAAGCCGAAGAGCCAGCACTGTCTGGAGATATCTCCGTGGTCACGTGGCTGGCATGACTAGACGCCGAAGTGCACGGAACGCTGTGACCTTCCCACTGAAGTGGCACCTATTTATCTACTTGCAATTTCTCGCTTTTGAACTGCTAGGTTGGCAGGAGCTGGGGCCAGAGACAGGAGCTCACTCCGTCACGCGGCACACTCGGGTCTTAAACTGCCGAACTACTGGCCTTCCGGTCTGCAGTTCAGCATCTTAACCTCGGAGCCAACACAGCTACTTCCCCTGAATCTAGCCTCAGTTTAGTCATTGTAGCTTCTAGGGAGAGTTCAGGTTTGATTTCATCTAGAACTCACTGATTTGTCTTTTTGGTAGTCCACGGTATCCGTCAAACTCTCTTCCAACACCACATTTCCAATGAATCAACTTTCTTCCTGTTAGCTTTCTTCACTGTCCGACTTTCACACCCATGCATGGTAATGGGGAATACTGTGGCATGAATTATCTTGATCTTGGTCGCCAGCAACACCTCCTTACACTTAAGGGTCTTCTCTGGTTCCTCCATAGCTACTCTTCCCCATCTCAGTCTCCTCCTGATTTTCTGGCTGCAGTCTCCCTTTGGGTTGATAAGGTAAACATAAAGGTTTCCCCTGCTCGAAAGCCAGTCGAATTCGACTCTAGAAGGCGGTGCTCATCTCCGTTTCCAAGCCGAAGAGCCAGCGCTGTCCAAAGACATCTCTGTGGTCATGTGGCCGGCATGACTAGACACCAAGGCGCACAGAACGCTGTTACCTCCCCACCAAAGCGGTCCCTATTTATCTACTTGCAATTTCTTGCTTTCGAACTGCTAGGTTGGCAGGAGCTGGGGCCAGAGACGGGAGCTCACTCCGTCACGTGGCACTTGGGTCTCGAACTGCTTAACTACCAACCTTCCGGTTTGCAGTTCAGCGTCTTAACCACTTGAGCCACCGCGGCCCCCTTGGGTTGACAGGGCACTGCAATTTGTGTGCTGAAAATTCAGCAGGTCTCGTTCAAAGCGAGGTAGAGCTTTCTTAACCCGCCTTGCCTCTTAGGTCAATGATCTTACAAACTGTGGCCTACTTGATACTACTCCGCTCAGCACAATCCGAAGCCTTTCCTTAGGCGAAAGAGGCCCTCCTGGTCCACTTCCATGAGAATCAGGACTCCTTTGGCTGGAAGAAGACTCCAAGCTTTGCCGAAAGGATTGGGATAACTGGTCGATCCTGTTGGAAACAGGATGTTGGGCCAGATGGCTTATCAGCCATTCGTGAGTGGAACAATCAGTAACCACTTCCCTGAAAGTTGCGCCACTTCTGCTGATTTTCACTCACAATCTGAAGATGTAAGGAAGTGTTGCATCCACAGGGGTGAAAGCAGGGCCCATTTCCTGCAGGAGCGCACAGGAGCGGAGCTCCAGCAGTAAAGAGCCCAGGGGGCGGGCACATGCAACAAGCCCCGCCCCCTGCTTCCAGCAGCCCCAGGCCACGAGGAGCAAGAAGTCTCTTTCTTTCCTTCTTTCTTTCTCGCCTTCTTTCTTTCTCTCCCTTTCCCGCCTTCTTTCCCTCTTTCCTGCTCTTTTTTCCCTCCTTCCTTCCTTCCTGCACAGATCTGCGCATTCCCCCACTCCCCAGCTAGCAATCCAAAACAGTCCAGTGGCATCTTTAAGGCCAAGGTTTATTCAGGTACAAGCTCTCCCTCCTCTGCGAGGACAGGTCTGCACGTTCCCCCCCCACAGCTAGCAATCCACAACAGCCCAGTCGCACCTTTTTTTTGGCCAAGTTTTATTCCGGTACAAGCTCCCCCTCCCCTGCTAGGACAGATCTGCCCGTCCCCCCCCCCCATAGCTAGCAATCCAAAACAGTACAGTGGCACCTTTAAGGCCAAGTTTTATTCAGGTACAAGCTCTCCCTCCTCTGTGAGGACAGATCTGCACGTTCCCCCCCCTCCCATAGCTAGCAATCCAAAACAGTCCAGTGGCACCTTTAAGGCCAAGGTTTATTCAGGTACAAGTTCTCCCTCCTCTGCGAGGACAGATCTGCACATTTCCCCCCCCCCCATAGCTATCAATCCAAAACAGTTTAGTGGAGCCTGAGCGGTGGGTGTTGCCTTCTGACACACTTCCGGTGATGTCAGGGGGTATGGCGTATGCAAATAAGTTATGCTAATGAGTTATGCTAATGAGCTCCTGCACCTCTTTTTCTATGAAATGACCCCTGGGTGAAAGTAAACCATTCCCGGCTGGTAAGGAGCTGGGGTTGCCAACACTGGGATGGGGGAATTCCTGGAGATCTGGGGATGGAACCTAGGGAGGGTAGGGTTTGGAGTAGGGATAGGCCCCAGAGGAGATGTAATGCCGCAGAGCCCACCCCCCAAAGCAGCCATTTTCTCCATGGGAACCGATCAATGCTCCCTCTAAGCTGTGGAGTCTTGTGAGCAAAAATTCTACTTTGTGAGCTACCGGCATTAAAGTGGTGAGTGAGCGATATGGCTGCTGCATGAATCAGTTTGCTCTGGAGCCACATCCTTCCTGAGCTAAGACAAAAATGTGTGAGCCAGTCTAAAATCTTATGAGCTAGCTCACACTAACTCAGCTTAGAGGGAACACTGGAACCGATCCTAACATGAGATGGATTGACTGCATCATGGAAGCCGCGGCCCACAGTTTCCAAGACCCAAGCAAGGCTGTTCATGACAGGATGCTTTGGAGGGCATTAATGCATTGGGTCACCATTAGTCAGAAGCATTGAGGTAAAGGTAAAGGATTCCCTTGCTCGAAAGCCAGTTGAATCTGACTCTAGGAATGCGGTGCTCATCTCCGTTTCCAAGCCGAAGAGCCAGCACTATCCGAAGACTTTTCTGTGGTCATGTGGCTGGCATGACTAGACGCCGAGGCGCACGGAATGCTGTTTCCTTCCCGCCGAAGCGGTCCCTATTTCTCTACTTGCAATTTCTTGCCTTCGAACTGCTAGGTTGGCAGGAGCTGGGGCCAGAGACGGGAGCTCACTCCGTCATGCGGCACTCGGGTCTCGAACTGCCGAACTACCGACCTTCCAGTCTGCAGTTCAGTGTCTTAACCTCTGAGCCACCGCAGCTCCTCGGAAGTATTGAACATACACACAAACACGTTCTTTTTAAAAACAACAACAGCAAAACAAGACAGCGATAGCATTGTGGTCTTTCCCTCCAGGTCTGCGGGGGTTAATGATCGTGGTCATGATGGCTGCACTGATGTCGTCGCTGACCTCGATCTTTAACAGCAGCAGCACCCTCTTCACCATGGACATCTGGAGGAGGATCCGGCGGGAGGCCAACGAGAAGGAGCTGCTGCTGGTTGGAAGGTCGCCACTGGGGGGCGCTGTGGAGTGGGGAGCGGGTGGCAAAGCAACTCTATCATAATGATATTTCTTAAGGGCTGAAACGGCTACTTGTTGCATTCTAAAGTTTGGCTCCCGGTGTACCATAGAGCCCTTTAGCCCATAAACGTAAGAAAAGATACTCAGGCAACCAGTGAATTCTGGGTCCATTGATGGTGGAAAGAGTGCCAGCCCATTCAGCTTCCTTTCCAAGGTTGATTATCCCTCCCTGTCCCTCCGAGGTGCTCAGGATAGTGCAGTGCAGTGGTTATTGAACTAGGATCTGGAAGACTCAGAATCAGAGCCCTACTCTGCCACCTACCTCACAGGGTTGTGGTGAGGATAAAATAGAGGAGGGGAGCATGATGTTAAGCCACTTTGGGTCTCCGTTGAAGTAACACATGGACACCCTTCCTCCGTGTTATTCTTACAACAACCCTGCAAAATATGTTAGGCTGATTAGCCCAAGGTAACCCGGGAAACTTCGGGCCTGAGCAGGAATTTCAATGCATGTCTCCTGATCCTAGTCTGGCAACCAAACCACACTGGTTTTCCCCGTAAGAAACAGTAAAATGTTGGACTCCCCTCCGGTCAGTTTGTTTCATGATTTGCTGCCCTTTTCTGCATAATGGTAATGACCTTCTATATATAGATAAGAAGAAGAGGAGATTGGATTTATACCCCACCCTTCACTACCCAAAGGTGTCTCAGAGTGTCTTACAAACTCCTTTCCCTTCCCCTCCCCACAACAGACACCCTGTGAGGTGGGTGGGGCTGAGAGAACTCTGACACAAACTGCTCTTTTTCAAGGACAGCTGTGCCAGAGCTTGTGACTGACCCAAGGTCACATCAGCAGGTGCAAGTGGAGGAGGGGGGAATCAAACCCGGTTCTCCCAGATTAGAGTCTGCACACTTAACCACTACACCAAACTGGCTCTCCAGTGGGTGTTTACATTATTCCAGGGCTTTGGAACCAAGCAGTCATGCCAGGGAAGCAACCCTGAGAGAGGACCCACAGGAAGAGAGTTTTGTTAATTTACAGAACTCATTGACACAAGATGTGGTGATAGTTGCCAGTAGTGGTATCGGATTAGACAGATCTATTTACTTAAACTTATGATTTATTTGAAATATTCATATCCAGCCTTCCCACAATGCGTTGGAGGCAAATTTATGGAGGAAGAGTTTGGGCTTTCGAGTTCCTGATTCTTCTGGGGTTTTTTTTTCCTGTTCTGCACATGGTCGATTTGATATTACACTGGTTTATGTCCAGCATATCTCCCTGCAGATTTAAACTGCAGTTTTTTTATATGGTGGACGCAAAGTGGTGTAATATCGAACTGACCACTAGAGGCAGCGAAACGTGTGGAACAGGCCCCCCTCCCCTTGAAGAAACAGGATCTTACAAATGAGGAAAGTGGAAAAGAGGAAAAGCCCTTTGCTAGCCCTGATAGGGAAACAGCCCTTCTGTGTTCAGAGGCAGTGTGCCCAGCGGCAAGCTCCGTGGGAAGGACCTCAGACATCTGGCAGACTGAATCTTGGAAACGGATTGCAGTGGGGACAACCAGGTTAAATGGTAGGTGGTTATAAAGGGGCCAATCCTATTGGAAACAGGTTGCTGGACTAGACGAACTTTTGGTTTAGAATCATCGAATCATAGAGTTGGAAGGGACCTCCAGGGTCATCTAGTCCAGTCCTCTGCACAATGCAGGAAATTCACAAAGACCTCCCCCTCCACACCCCCAGTGACCCCTGCTCTATGTCCAGAAGAGGGGCCAACCCCCCCTCCCAAATCCCTGGCCAAACTGGCCAGGAGAACAATTGCTTCCTGGCCCCAAAGTGGCGATCGGCATTTCCCTGGGGATGTAAGAAAGGGCCACGAGAACTAAGCACTGAGGCAACCCTCCCTGCCCTCCCTCTCAGGATCTGCCTGAGTCCACAGAATCAGCACTGCTGTCAGAGGGCCATCTAGCCTCTGTTTGAAAACCGCCAAAGGAGGAGAGCCCACCACCTCCCGAGGAAGCCTGTCAGGAAGTTCTTGCAAATGTTTAGCTGAAAACTCTTCTGATTCAATTTCAACCTGTTGGTTCCGGTCCGACCCAGGCCATTAACGGTATTTATGGTGCTTGCTTGGGGTGTGTGTGCGTGTGTGCGTCCCCCCCCCCGACATATTTAAAGATTCCCCGAATTTAAAAAATCCTAGCTACAGGCCTAGTCCAACCTTCTGGGGCAACAGAAAACAACTCTGCACCATCCTCTATATGACAGCCCTTCAAGGACTTGAAGATGGTGATCATATCACCTCTCAGTCGTCTCCTCTCCAGGCTAAACACCCCCAGCTCCTTCAACCTCTCCTCATAGGACTTGGTCTCCAGACCCCTCACCATCTTCGTTGCCCTCCTCTGGACACCTTCCAGCTTGTCTATATCCTTCTTAAATTGTGGTGCCCGAAACTGAACACAATACTAATCCTGCTGGCCGTTTACATTCAGTTTCCTTCGGACCCCATGTTAGTTTGCTCTGTCTTTTCAATCGGGAATAGTGGTTCCAAAGTGTACGACGCGGAGGTCCTGAACTGCAGCATCCTATAACCACTTCTTTCAAAGCGTTCTGCACGGGGTGGGTCTTTCACAGCCGTAGGTGATGTCTGAGAGTTGCCGACTTCGGGTTCGGGAATACTTGGAGATTTGATGGTGGAGCATGGGAGAGTGGGGTTTAGGGAGGAGAAGATATAATGCCATACAGTCCACCTTCCAAAGCAGCCGTTTCCTCCAGGAGAAGTGGAAGAACTGTTTTAGATAAACGGATAAGCAACGTGTGCAGTCTGGAGATCGGCTGTAATTCCGGGAAATCACCAGCCCCCACCTGCAGGTTGGCATCCCCAGGAATGAAAAAGGGGTGGGGTCGCTAATTCTAGGGGAAGCTAATTAGTCCTGCATTCCCAGTCTGTGATGATACCTGTAATTCACGCTCTCCCTTCCCCCATGATAATAGACCGAGTAGGCTTTCTGATCTCTTTTTCTGGCACCGTTCTCAGTCGCTGAGCACGATCGTCTCTCTTTGGCAGTCCTATAGACTCCAGAATAGTTCCTTGCTGGCACCTGGGCTTTAATTGATCTGTCTGTGCAATGGACTTAATGATTAGATTACTCTCGCCAGCACGTTAACTAATAAGATCATTTGTATGGCCGATAGAAGGCTGATAAGCAGTAACCTGAATGGCGTGCTGATGATCCAAATATTTAATCACCTGGCGCCGCCTCATTTTCTCGGGTCGCTTTTACCAACACCTATGGGTTGGCCCGGCCGATGACTTGTTAAAGCTGCCATATATCCTGTGTGATTGTGTTCGAACCACCAACATCGACGACTTAATCATGCTTGTGAAATCCAGCGATTACAGCACCGGCGATAATTGACAAGCGCACACATCAATGTATTCACCTGCTCAGCTGATTTTTGCCCATGTTAATCATCGTCGGCTTCCTAGGAAGAGCAATCCGAGATTTGTGAAATTCTCTTCCCAGGTTGCCTTGGAAGCAATTCTTCTTTTGGCACCTAACCATCTGTTGGCATCTTAAGCCACGCGGGCGTGACCACAGCGCAGCGTGGTGGTGTGGGGAAAAGTGTCCAGCTGCGATCTGGAAAACCCAGGTTCAAATCCCCACTTTGGCATGGAAGCTTGCTAGAGAACCTTGTCATTATATCTCTCTCTCTGAAACTGAGAGGCAGTTTGGTGTAATGGTTAAGTGTGCGGACTCTAATCTGGGAGAACCAGGTTTGATTCCCCACTCCTCCACAGCTGTTGGATGACCTTGGGCAAGCCATAGTTCTGTCAGAGCTGTTCTGGAAAGAGCTCTCTCAGCCCCACCTGCCTCGCAGGGTGTCTGTTGTGGGGAGGGGAAGGGAAAGGAGCTTGTAAGACGCTCTGAGACTCCGAGTGAAGGGCAGAGTATAAATCCAACCTCTTCTTCTTCTCTTCTTCAGAGCTGTTCTCCCACAAGCAGTTCTCGAAAGAGCTCTCTCACAGGGTGTCCGTTGTGGGGAGGGGAAGGGAAAGGAGATTGTGAGCCGCTCTGAGACTCCTTCGGGTAGTGAAGGGTGGGGTATAAATTCAATCTCTTCTCTCTTCTCTCTGCTTGACCTACCTCACAGGGTTGCTGTTAGGATAAAACAGGAAAGTTAAAACAATGTCATAAACCACTTTGGGTCCCCATTGGAGAGAAGAGCAGGACATCAGGTCAATGAAAATAAAATAAAATGTATGCCATGCCCGCTTTCTCTTACCATCACGCCCTGCTTTGCTAATGAAACTGTCGGGCCTTGATCCAGCGTCTGCTGAGAATCCCCTTCCAAAGGACCGCTAGTCTTTAATTTTAATGGTCAGTTGTGTTTCATTTTGCTTCCCGTGAGCAATTCTGGGGCATTGTTTTTTGTGGCCGAAAGTGGAATCAAAATATAATGAGTAGTAAACATGCGGCTAATGAATGCTGCCCTATCCGATGGGGCTGTTGTGAAAGTCCGGGAAGCCCTGAATACTGGAAACACAATGCTGAATCATAGTGAATTATACTTGGTTGGTGTGAAACACATTTTTCTCTAAACAGGAGAGTGAGACGGTTCCACCCACTTAAATGATCCACCAAACTTGTTGCGTCAAACTGGCTTTTCAGTTGCCACTTGGCTGGTCGCCTGTGGTGCGTAAGCGTTGCCTCCAGGCGAATATGCAAGGATGTTCTTTTTTTAAATGAGAAGAATGTCCGTTCTCTCCCCTCCCTTCTTGTCGTAAGTGATAAAAACAGAGCCCACTTACTATGGTGCCTGAGCAGCGGTCTTTTACAAATGATTGTACCCGAAACAGATCCAGGAAAGATTATGGCAAAGCTAGGAGGGGTGGGATGTAGGAAGCAGGATTTAATAGGCTAATGTGGCAAAAAAGGCTAATGTGATCTTGGAGTGTATCAACAGAGGCATAACATCCAAAC